CAAAAAGCGTTCCCCCAATAGCAGAAATAGTGTTATAGCGATAAACGAGTTTGCGTGAACACAACGCATTAAGCGAGGGCTTGATCATGGAGGTAAACAAAAAAAAAACACTAAATCAATTAGCACGGTTGGCTACGTACGGTACGCAAGAAGTTCAACGTACGTACCGTTTTTTTTTCTTCTTGGTTCTTTCGGTAAAGTCACGTAGAAGGGAAATAATAAAATAAGAAAATAAAACATAATAAAAAAATTCTCGCGACGTTTCAGCCACAACGCAAGCAGCCGTCCTTGCGTTGTGGCGGAAACGTCGTGAGAATTATTTTATTATGTATTATTATTTTATTATTTCCCTTATACGTGACTTTACCGAAAGAACCAAGAAGATGAATCCCTGCAGTCACGAAAGCTTTAAATCGGTACGTACCGTTGTCGAGGCTGCCACTCCAGAGACTCATGACACGGCCAGACAAGACTTTAATGGTGGCATTAAGGAGAGCCTTTTTTTAAATCCTTTATATTAAGTTCACTTGCTTGCTTAGGACCGTGCAAATCTTTCGGTCGTTTTTTAACCCACTTCCCGTGATCCAATCGAGCTGACATTTTCCACACAGACTCGTTGTGCGTGACAATGTTCGAGAAAAAAAATCCAAAATTTTACACTTTTTAGGACAAAAATATTATATTTAATTACCAATTGCTTAATGGTGCAATGCAATCATCTGACCCATAGGTGGCAGCCATCTCAAGCCAGAGGACGAGAGGACTCTAGCCGCCACGCATATAAAGGATTTATAGTGAAAAACTTTGTTTTTACGGGTTATACTTGTTCCCAGCTATGAAGTTAATCATCGACTGCTGGACACATTCATTTTAGGTTGACTTTTTTTCCCCCAGGGAGAGGGAATCCTCGGAATATTATGGTAACATTTAATATTTAAACGCTTGCAGACGTTGTTGTTGTTCCTCGGCTGTAGCAGTCAGCCGTAGCACATGGCAATGGAAAGAACTGGAGCGTCGAACGGTCGGAATTGGATGGACATCAAAGCACAGAAAGCGATTAAGAGTAACAATGTCAATTACAACTGTAAATCATAGATATATATGAGGCATAAATACAGGAGGGTCAAACACCAAATAGACATCGATTTAAAAGCATTAACCGATTAGCACGGTTCAACATGCAGGCCAATATATTTCAAGGACAATGCCGACATTACACTATGTAACACGATTTTTGTTCCTGGGTTTTAAGTGTTATTTTCTACATGGTTATACCTCAAAAGAATAGAAAATGGCTATAATTCCCCACAAACTTTGCTTTTGTGACCAGGACTTTACGTGAAGGAATAACACAAATGCACACGTTTCTCATTGAAAATAGGTAAATTAATTTAAATAATAGAATACATACTATATACTACTACACACTACTATACACACTACACTACTATATACACTACTATATACACTACACACTTTTCGATTTAAAGCTTTCGTGACTCCAGGGATTCATCTTCTTGGTTCTTTCGGTAAAGTCACGTAGAAGGGAAATAATAAAATAATAAAAATAAAACATTATGTTTTATTTAAAACATTGTTTTTTTAATTGTATTTTTATTTCCCTTCTACGTGACTTTACCGAAAGAACCAAGAAGACACTACACACTGTTATACACACTACACTACTATACCCACTACACTACTATACACACTACACTACTATATACACTACTATATACTACTGCACACAGTTATACACACTACACTACTATACCCACTACACTACTATATACACTACACTACTATATACACTACACTACTATATACACTACACTACTATACACACTACACGAATATATACTACTACACTACTATACACACTACACTACTATACACACTACACGACTATACTACTACACTACTATACACACTACACTACTATCTACTACTACATTACTATATACACTACTATACACACTACACGACTATATACTACTACACTACTATACACACGACGATAATCAGGAACGCCTCTGCTTACGAACCAGTTCAATTCCAGAGGTCTGTTCGTAAGTCAATTTGTTCGTAAGTCAAACTTTACTCGATTGCAAACATGTTGTGCAACGTGTACACCCAACGTAGCTATTGAACCTACGCCTCTCGGTCCTAACAGGCAACTGGACATACGGACAGGTTTGTTCTTATCTCTGAAAGGTTGTAAGTCGAATGTTCGTAATCAGAAGAGTCCCTTATATTTAAAATATAAACCGGTTAGCGATTAACGGCACAATTCAATGCTGTAGTCTTCTTGGTTCTTTCGGTAAAGTCACGTAGAATGTAAATAATAAAATAATAAAAATAGAACATAACATCTCCTAGCCACCGTGATGATGATGATGAAATAGAGAGAGACACGCCAACTCCAAATATACAGCAGCAGGCATCAGGATCGGGATCGAACCCCCGACCTCCTGCATACCAGGCGAGGTAGTTAACATCTCCTAGCCCCTTTAAAACATAAATACATCTGCTCATGCCAGGGGTTGTATCAATCAATCACCTTTTGCCGTTTGAGGGTTTAGCGGTTTCTCCAAATCCGTCTCGTAGAGAATCTTAAATAGAATGGATTATGGTGGCGAGTGTTCTAATTCTACACACATTGCAAGCACGTCACTCTACATGTGCTCCACAGACTTCAAGCGATGTCCATAATGCAGGTTTTTTTAGGGGGTGTTAGATCGCATAAATAGCTTAATTTGGAGTTTCTCGACATTTTCTGGTTTGAAGAAAAGTATCCCCATAGATTCTAGATTTGAAGCTTTCGTGACTGCAAGGATTCATATTCTTAGGTTTTTTCGGTAAAGTCACGTAGGTAAAACATTGAAATTTATAAAAGTAAAATAAAATAAAAATCACGACGTTTCGGAGGCAACACAAGCTTCCGTCTTCAGGTGAAACCGTCACAGCCACGACAGCTGTATCATTTACTTGTATCATTTACTTGTATCATTTACTTGAAAAACCCTAAGAATATGTATCCCCATAGAGATTAGTCAGTTTAACACGTCAGCTTTCACGACCAATATTATCCATAATACAGAATTATTTTTGGGTTACATCGAACCAAAAAAAAACTGTTAATATTTAAGCGATGTGTTTCGTTTAGCTAAATTGGGGTCCTCCCCCAACTTGATTTTACCTAGTTTAAAAAATTGGCAATGTATCTACATATTATCCATCACGCTGACGGGTCTCTGTGTGACTCTATGGGTCTCTGTGTGAGTCTATGTATGTATTTGAACTTTTTTTGCACCGTACGTAGCCAACCGTGCTAATCGGAGGGTGCGGTTTCGATGTATTTTCGAGTCATGCCGCCTTTAAAATTTGTATTATTTTTTTTACGCTTATTTACCCAGGAAAGCCGAGTCGCTGAGTCTCAAGACTCTTTTTTAAGTGTCTTGGCGAGATGTTGCTAGGTGTGATAAGCAATTCTTTTGAGTTGAAGCTTTCGTGACTGCAGGAATCCATACTCTTCGGTTCTTTCGGTAAAGTCCCGTGGGGTAGAAAAGAATAGACCACGACGTTTCGATCGCAACACAAGCGAATGTCATCAGGTGGGACAACCGCAGCAGGGAAACTTCTTTCTGCTGTGATTGTCTCACCTGATGACGGCCGCTTGTGTTGCGATCGAAACGTCGTCGTCTATTATTTTCTACCTATACGTGACTTTACCGAACGAACCAAAGAGTAAAACAATTATTTTCAGATTTTTTTTTTTTACATCATTGAGATCTTTGGCCAATACCGTTGGTATAGTTGGGAGTTTTTTTTTCGCTATGGCAGGGAAAGCTGAGAACCCGGAGGGCGAGGTGCTGGCCACCCACCCCCTCGTGTGCCATAGTGCAGACCTTCACAGGTGCAACTCGCGAACAGCACTTGCCCCGACAGTCTGCTGACGCTCCATGGGGGATCTTTGTCTTTGTATTTTTGGTGGTGCGGTGCCGGGAAGGTTGCGAGACTCTTCTCATTCTTACTCTTAGGTTTTTTCGGTAAAGTCACGTAGGTTAAAAATTTATAATAATACAAATTAATAAAAAAAAAATAGAAATAAAGAATTAAAATTTATTATTTTATTTCTATTATGATTTCAATTATTTTATTTATTTATTTTCCCCTACGTGACTTTACCGAAAAAAAATAAGAGTATGAATCCTTGCAGTCACGAAAGCCTCAAATCTAGAATCTTCTCATTCTGTCGTACGGCTGCCGACGTCGACCGCAGAGCAACAGAATTACATGTTGACATTCAGGCGGTTCAAGCCAGCAGACAACGGACTAAGTGCGTCGTCGTGACCATGTCTCCCTTAATTCTAGATTTGAAGCTTTCGTGACTGCAAGTATTCATACTATTAGTCCTTTCGGTAAAGTCACGTAGGTAAAAAATGAAATTTTTATTTTATTTTTATTAATTTTTATTTCATTTTTTACCTACGTGACTTTACCAAAAGAACTAAGAGTTGTATGTCTCCCTTCCCCGTATCTGTCGCTCGGGAGAGATACGGGGGGGGGGGGGTCGTGGCGGACGATATGGAAGTCACCATTGGAACCTCATTTGCCAGTAAAAAATATGATAATTGTTTTTTTACCCTTCTATCTGGCAACAAAACTGACACCTTTTTTTACAAGGAGTCATGTTTGCATAGACTACAATACCTGCAGTCATAATGCAAACAAAAAAACATAACACAACAGTGCACATTATCAGAGTTATGTGTTTTGTTTGCATTATGACTGCAGGTATTGTAGTCTATGCAAACATGACTCCTTGTAAAAAAATGTATCAGTTTTGTTGCCAGACAGAAGGGTAAAAAAACCAACTATTATAATATGGAAGTCATTCATCCAACAGCCCTGGGTGGACTTCATCCGTTTGCGTATGTTGTTGTTGTTGTTTGTTGTTCTTGATGTCGGATGACGTTGTCGTCCTCTGTCCACCGCAGGGATGATGAGTTGCTTTGCCGGAACGCGGGGCTCCGCTCGCGTGTGGCTCTGCGCGGTCGCTCTGTGCCTGCTGGCGAGCGCGTGTGCTCGTGGCGCGGCCGCCTTCCCCAACAAGCCCGACAGCCCCGGGGAGGACGCCCCCGCGGAGGATCTGGCCCGGTACCTGTCTGCCGTGCGCCACTACATCAACCTCATCACCCGGCAACGGTGCGTGTGCAACAACCACCACCAACACCAATACCGCCACCACCAACAACACCGCCCCCGACCCAGACCAGCCCCCCCCCCCACGTGGTCCGGCCCCCCCCCCGACCCTGGAGCCGCATCGGCCCCCCACCCCACGCCCCCCCCCGGCTCCCCTCCCCAACCAACTCCCTCCCCCCCTGTTCAGCCCCCCAACCCCTCAGACACGGACCAGCCCCACGGCGGGTTCAGAGTTGTGTGGGGGCGAGGGGGGAGGGGCAAACCCACCCCCACCCCACACGGCTCCCACGCCAATCAGTGTAATTGAGAACTATCCAGAAAAGTCAAGTCGAGTTGATTTTGTTGTTGCTTGCAGACACGTGTGTGGCCCACGCCTATACGGCACAAATCTGCCACCGCCGCGCGAATCGGAGGCGTGCAGGTGTTTTTGGCAAGGCCGTAATTAGAATATTTATGGGGGGACTGTCCCCCCATAAATATTCAAAAATGCTCAAAATATACCCCCCCCCTCCAATACATCGCTATAAAATAGATGTCTGTTTATAGGATTGTGGTTATGGTTGTACTTTATTAATCTCGAATCTCTGCCATTTCATACAATGAAACAAGAAAAGGTAAAAAATAAAAAACAGAGCAATGTAATACAATACACTATTAGACATTATTGTTTAAAAAAATACGTTAAAAGTCCATCCTACGTTTCGATTTAAAGCTTTCGTGACTGCAGGGATTCATCTTCTTGGTTCTTTCGGTAAAGTCACGTAGAAGGGAAGTAATAAAATAATAAAAATAAAACAATAAAATAAAATAATTCTCACGAAGTTTCGGCCACAACGCAAGCAGCCGTCTTCAGGTGAGGACGGCTGCTTGCGTTGTGACTTTACCGAAAGAACCAAGAAGATCCATCCTACGTGTTAGTGAATTTTTAAATATTTTAGGCAGGAAATGGCAGGAAATTAGTTTTCAAATTTCGTTTTTTTTTCTGGGGGGGGGGGGGGGGGCCCGGACCCCCTGGAAGATTTGCCCCCCCCCCCCCCAATGTTGACTCCATGGTTGGCAACTTACGGTGCGAAAGAAACTCGACAGACATCGAGTTCAGGTGCCGGGTTGACGTTGTATCGTGTATAAGGGAGGCCTTCATCCAGCAGTGGATTGATCATGGCCTGCTTTTTTGGAACTTGTGGTTGCGAAATAAGTTCGAAGTTTATGCAAGAGTTTGGGTCTCTATGGGTCTGTGTGGGTTTCTGTTGGTGTCTATGTTTCTACACGAGTCTCTGGATCGTTGTGGGTATCCATGGGTATGTTCCTTCCGATGCTAAGAGCTAAATCATCTCGATTGAAAACTCATTTCTTGAGGACAGTTTTTGTGTGTCTTCTTGGTTCTTTCGGTAAAGTCACGTAGAATGGAAATAATAAAATAATAAAAATACAACATTATAAAAATAAAAGGTGGAGAACAGGTCTGTCGACAGACAGACCTGTTCTCCACCTGAGGACGGCTGCTTGCGTTGTGGCCGAAACGTCGTGAGAAATATTTTTATGTTTTATTTTTATTATTTTATTATTTCTATTCTACGTGACTTTACCGAAAGCACCAAGAAGTTCAACATACATGGTCGATGCCAGTGATGTATTTTAATAAGTGTGGTTGATGTCGCACTATGGACCGCTGTGTTTGTTTTTTAGTAATGCGTTCCATCATTATAATGAGTATCGTCATTGTCGGTGTTGTTCACTTTCGTTTTCCACCAAAAGGTATGGAAAGAGGGCACTGACCGAGCCCTACGTCCCAGAGTTTATATTTCAAGAAAATCGTGGTGATAGGAGCAGCAACCCAAGGTACGAATTCTGTTGCTCAGACTACTCTGTGGTCGCATCGCATCTACATTTGAAGTTTTCGCGACTGCAAGGATCCATACTCTTTGTTTTGTTCGGTAAAGTCACGTAGGTAAAAGTAAAATAAATTAGAAATATCTTCTTGGTTCTTTCATTAAAGTCACGTAGAGAGCGATAGTGTAGCGGTTAGCGCGCTGCGCTACGAACCCGGCGACCCGAGTTCGATTCCCGCTCACGGCCAACACTGGTGACGATTATCTGAACCGGTCCCGGGCCTCCCCTAGGTCGACTCAGCCTCAAATGAGTACCTGGTGCGGTGTGTAAACATTGCCACAAGGGAGACAAAGGCGGCCGGGCGTGATGTCGGCCACCCACCCCCTCGTGTGCGTGTCATGCCAGCCTTCATAGGTGCTCGCTAACGGCACTTGCCCCAGCAGTCTGTTACAGGCTACACGGGGGATCGTTGTCTTTGTTACATTGTGTGTGTGTGATTTGCGATGTTTTCAGACAATGGTCATTCTTCATCGCTCGAAACGTCTGCTATGAATAACAGTACCAAATGTATTAGCATGCTGTAAAAGTACCAAATGTATTAGCATGCTATAACAGTACCAAATTTATTATATGCTATCAAGATTGCCTAAAACGTTTGCCAATTATATTGATTGTCTTCCTTATTAGAGTAAAAGTGTTGTTGACGGTTGTTTAGAGCTATTTGTTGTTGCTGTTGCTTGTGATCTGTGCACCACTGCCAACGCAGCATCGATTCATTCTCTTTATTAAATCCTTTATATTAAGTTCACTTGCTTGCTTGCGCGCTTACGACCGTGCAAATCTTTCGGTCGTTTTTTAACCCACTTCCCGTGATCCAATCGAGCTGACATTTTGCACACAGACTCGTTGTGCGAGACAATTAATGTTCGTGAAAAAATCTTTCCTAAATTTTACACTGTTTAGGATTTTTTTTAAAATATTTAATTACCAATTGCTTAATAGTGGCAGGCAATCATCTGACCCATAGGTGGCAGCCATCTCAAGCCAGAGGACGAGAGGACTCTAGCCGCCCGTTTCAAAGACCAATGTGGGCTGGGTTGTGGCCCATTGAACACGCATATAAAGGATTTATTGTGAAAAACGTTGTTTTTACGGGTTAATTTTTTTTTCATATTCTGATGAAGTCGTTAACAGATGGCTCTGGTGGGTCGTCTCTCTCTCTCTCTTACCTTGCAGATTTGACAGCGTGACCATGTGGTGATTTGGTTAGAATTGAAGATGCCCGTCAACTTTTCATCCACCTCCCCTCTCCTCCTCCTACCCATCGAGCCCCCCAAACCCCACCCCTCCATTCACACCCTCCCCCCCCCCCATTCCTCCTCACCCCTCCCCAGCCCCCCACCCCCCAATCCACTGCACCTCCCAATTGACCCCCAACCCCCCATTCACCCCCCTAACTCCCCCCCTCTCCTCTCCATCGCCCCGTAAACCCCCATCCACCCCCCCCTCCTCATCCCCATCGCCCCCCACAATGGATAAGTCAGAAGTTCCATCACGCTCTGCCATTTGAAAACAACCATCGGGTCTGCCTCGATTAGGCAATTAAAAAATAAAAACCCCTTCTGTTGAAATGCATGAACCTGTCCCGTACGTTGTGTTGCCCTGGATGGTTATACGATTACAAAAAAAAGGAAGGAAAAAAATTGACAAACACACAAAAAATTCACAAAACACGCGTTGGTTTGTTTTTGCGCCGTGTACATATTGAGCATCGCGTCGTAGTTTGTGTCTTATTCGGCGTGTTGAAATGTGTAATGTGGGAGATGTTATTCGCGGATCGGATTAGTCCTAAGAAAAAAAAATCAAAGTACGTTTTCGATGTAGCCCCCCCACTCCCCCTCTGTGTGCCACCGCTACCCCCCCGCCCCCCCCCCAAGATTTGTCTTTTAATTTATTTCACTTGAATATAACACAATAATAAAATGGACAGCAGCATCATCCCAGAGCGTGTGTTTTTACTTGGCTGAGCGCTGCTCAGTGGCGTAGCGAGCGTGGGGGGCGGGGGGGGGGGCAGTCAGGGGGGTGCATTGCCCCCTCCCCAACTCTCCCCTGGTGGCCAAGGCTACGAGTTTGGGGGCCCCCCCAGACAACCCACTATGAGATTTGTTGTCAACGGCAAGTGTCAAACAAGAAGAATAAGAACAACAACACATATTCATCTTCTTGGTTCTTTCGGTAAAGTCACGTAGAAGGGAAGTAATTAAAAATAAAACATAATAAAATACAATTCTCACGACGTTTCGGCCACAACGCAAGCAGCCGTCCTCAGGTGAAGAACAGGGCTGTCGGAAAGACAGCACTTATTTAAAACGCGGTTTAAATTTAGTTTTAAACGCAAAAGCTTTCGTTTCCCTTCCACGTTCTATTTTACTTCAATTAGAGCGCGTCACGTAACATCGCAAAGAGGTGGCTACTACGGAGCTGGAGAGAGCTGCGTTCTACGAAGACGCAGCGCACCCCTACAGCGTTAAATGTTCGAAACCGTGAGCGTAACGACGATGCGGTTAGTCGGCAAGAGGAGGCCGCGATATAGAAACAGCCTCTAGGGGGCCACCGTGCGAGAGACAAATATTTGGAGGGCGGGCAGCCGCACCTCTTGAGATGATAATGTAGTCACTACGTCACTGATGTAGTTACAACGCCACTGATGTAGTTACTACGTCACTGATACTGTAGTCACTACGCTACTGATAATGTAGTTACTACGTCACTGATAACATAGTCACTACGTCACTGATGTAGTTACTACGTCACTCTTCTTGGTTTTTTCGGTAAAGTCACGTAGTAGGAAAATAATCAAATAATATAAAACAATAAAATGAAATTCTCACGACGTTTCGGCCACAACGCAAGCAGCCGTCCTTGCGTTGTGACCGAAACGTCGTGATAATTTCATTTTATAATGTTTTATTTTTTATTATTTTATTATTTCCCTTCTACCTGACTTTACCGAAAGAACCAAAAATATGAATTCCCTGCAGTCACAAAAGCTTTAAATCGAAATACTACGTCACTGATAATGTAGTTACTACGCCACTGATAATGTAGTTACTACGCCACTGATAATGTAGTTACTACGCCACTGATAATGTAGTTACTACGTCACTGATAATGTAGTCACTACACCACTGATAATGTAGTTACTACGCCACTGATAATGTAGATACTACGCCACTGATAATGTAGTTACTACGCCACTGATAATGTAGTTACTACACCACTGATAATGTAGTCACTACGCCACTGATAATGTAGTTACTACGCCACTGATAATGTAGTCACTACACCACTGATAATGTAGTTACTACGCCACTCATAATGTAGTTACTATGCCACTGATAATGTAGTTACTACGCCACTGATAATGTAGTTACTACGCCCCTGATAATGTAGTTACTACACCACTGATAATGTAGTTACTACACCACTGATAATGTAGTCACTACGCCACTGATAATGTAGTTACTACGCCACTGATAATGTAGTCACTACACCACTGATAATGTAGTTACTACGCCACTCATAATGTAGTTACTATGCCACTGATAATGTAGTTACTACGCCACTGATAATGTAGTTACTACGCCACTGATAATGTAGTTACTACACCACTGATAATATAGTTACTACACCACTGATAATGTAGTTACTACACCACTGATAATGTAGTTACTACACCACTGATAATATAGTTACTACGCCACTGATAATGTAATTACTACACCACTGATAATGTAGTTACTACACCACTGATAATGTAGTTATTACACTACTGATAATGTAGTCACTACGTCACTGATAATGTAGTTACTACACCACTGATAATGTAGTTACTACACCACTGATAATGTAGTTACTACACCACTGATAATGTAGTTACTACACCACTGATAATGTAGTTACTACACCACTGATAATGTAGTTACTACGCCACTGATAATATAGTTACTACGCCACTGATAATGTAGTTACTACACCACTGATAATGTAGTTACTACACCACTGATAATGTAGTTACTACACCACTGATAATGTAGTTACTACACCACTGATAATGTAGTTATTACACCACTGATAATGTAGTCACTACGTCACTGATAATGTAGTTACTACACCACTGATAATGTAGTTACTACACCACTGATAATGTAGTCACTACACCACTGATAATGTAATTACTACACCACTGATAATGTAGTTATTACACCACTGATAATGTAGTTACTACACCACTGATAATGTAGTTACTACACCACTGATAATGTAGTCACTACACCACTGATAATGTAGTTAGTACACCACTGATAATGTAGTTACTACGCCACTGATAATGTAGTTACTACATCACTGATAATGTAGTTACTACGCCACTGATAATGTAGTTACTACGTCATTGATAATGTAGTTACTACACCACTGATAATGTAGTTACTACACCACTGATAATGTAGTTATTACACTACTGATAATGTAGTCACTACGTCACTGATTATGTAGTTACTACACCACTGATAATGTAGTTACTACACCACTGATAATGTAGTTACTACACCACTGATAATGTAGTTACTACACCACTGATAATGTAGTTACTACACCACTGATAATGTAGTTACTACACCACTGATAATGTAGTTACTACACCACTGATAATGTAGTTACTACACCACTGATAATGTAGTTACTACGCCACTGATAATGTAGTTATTACACCACTGATAATGTAGTTACTACACCACTGATAATGTAGTTACTACACCACTGATAATGTAGTCACTACACCACTGATAATGTAGTTACTACACCACTGATAATGTAGTTACTACGCCACTGATAATGTAGTTACTACACCACTGATAATGTAGTTACTACGCCACTGATAATGTAGTTACTACGCCATTGATAATGTAGTTACTACACCACTGATAATGTAGTTACTACGCCACTGATAATGTAGTTACTACGTCATTGATAATGTAATTACTACGCCACTGATAATGTAGTTACTACACCACTGATAATGTAGTTACTACGTCATTGATAATGTAGTTACTACACCACTGATAATTTAGTTACTACACCACTGATAATGTAGTTATTACACTACTGATAATGTAGTCACTACATCACTGATAATGTAGTTACTACACCACTGATAATGTAGTTACTACACCACTGATAATGTAGTTACTACACCACTGATAATGTAGTCACTACACCACTGATAATGTAGTTACTACACCACTGATAATGTAGTTACTACACCACTGATAATGTAGTTACTACGCCACTGATAATGTAGTTACTACACCACTGATAATGTAGTTACTACGCCACTGATAATGTAGTTACTACGCCACTGATAATGTCGTGGGCCCCCGAGGACATTAACCTCGGCAACAATGAACCCCCCCCCCCCACCGGGACACACACCATTACAAGCACCACCGCCCCCTTCCAGCAGAGAATCGGACGATTTATTTACACCGGGGGGAGGAATCAGATGAGCTATAAAGCACTCTTTTGGTTCGGCTTGCTTTGATTTGAAGCTTTCGTGACTGCACAAATCCATACTCTTTGGTTCTTTCGGTGAAAGTCCCGTAGGTAGAAAAGAAAATTAGTTTTTTGTTTGTAAAATAAATTTTTATTTTCAAACGAAAGAACCAAAGAGTTTAGGCTTGCCTTGTTTTTATCCCTCTCTCTCAACCATTTCAAATTCAATCTTCTGTGTCGCACAGACTGAACAATGCACGTGTCGCCAGCACTCACGACATCTGTCCAGCGGCTGGCTGCCCAAAGTTCTGAGTGAGAAATGATCAGGATGCCTGGAGGGGTAGCAGCCACATGGGGCAAGCAGCAGCAGTAGCAGCATCAGCATCACGGTGTGAAGTTCTCATTGAAGGAATGACGATACAGAAGTGCCGAGGGCATCCTTACAGGGCGTTTGACTGCACAAAGTCTCTGTCTGTCTCACGAGTCTCACACACACACAGATGTCTCTCTCTGTGTGTCTCTTTGTCTCACACACTCACAGATGTCTCTCTCTCTCTGTGTCTCTCTGTCTCACTACACACACAGATGTCTCTCTCTCTGTGTCTCTCTGTCTCACTACACACAAATGTCTATCTCTCTGTGTCTCTCTGTCTCACACACACACAAATGTCTCTCTCTGTGTCTCTCTCTGTCTCACACACACTCACAGATCTCTCTCTCTGTGTCTCTCTGTCTCACACACACTCACAAATGTCTCTCTCTGTGTCTCTCTGTCTCACTCACACTCACAGATGTCTGTCTCTGTGTCTCTCTGTCTCACACACTCACAAATGTCTCTCTCTGTGTCTCTCTGTCTCACTCACACTCACAGATGTCTCTCTCTGTGTCTC